AAGGAGATTAAGGGGGGACATGATTTTCATGTACAAAATGCTCTATAGTCATAGCGACATTAGCCACAAACTCTTTAAGATTAATTCCGTAACAAAGACTAGAGGCCACCACCTGAAACTGGTAGAAAAAAAATTCAAAACACAAGGGGCGAAGGGGGTTCTTCTCAGTTCGAGCGGTTAGGGTCTGGAACTCGTTGCCACAAGCAGTGATTTCAGCTAATAGTGTGGAATCATTCAAGAAGCTTTTGGACGATTTCCTGAGAAACGGTAATATACAGGGGTACAAGTACTCCTAATAACGAGATGACTCAGGGACCTATACACACACACACACACACACACACACACACAATAGGTTGGACTTGATGGACATGTGTCTTTATTCAACCTCAAATACTATGTAACTATGTAACTATGAACAGGACTCGGCCCGAAAAAGGTGGTCGTGGTAGTAGGTATGGTATGATCGCGATCCCCTGCCATCTCTACAAGGCAAGGGCCAGAGCTAAAACCTTAGTGAAGACCCAAGGGGCCGACGCTAGGCTGCCAGGAAGGGTCACAAACTGGAAATGCTGCTCTCCCACCGCAAACTGCAGAAAGTGTTGATGTGCGTAGCAAATCAGGACATGCATTTAGGTATCTTTGATATCGATCGAAAATCCCCATGATGGAGAGAAGCCACCACCGAACGAATGGACTCCGTCTTAAATTTTCGAACCTTGACGATAGCATTGAGCTCCTTGAGATCCAGAATTGGGCAGACACCCTCTTTCTTGGGAAGAGTAAATAGGTTTGAATAGAAGCCCCTGAATCTTTCCAACGGTGGAACTGGGACCACCACCCTCAGATGCAGCAGGTCCTGAATTGCAAACCGAAGGTTGCACAGATGTTAGGAAGGAACAAAAAGGGGAGGAGGAGGGGAAAGAAATTCTATTTTGTAACCCCAGACAATGAGTTGCTAACCCAACTGTCCGATATATGAGACAGCCAGTGATCTGCAAAGCAACGAAGACGTTCCCCCACCCTTAGTCACACAGGTGGGGGCGCACCTACATGCAGAGGGAGACTTTTTGGCGAGCTTGGAAGGCTTGAATGGCCAGGATGTCTTGGAACTATCAGAGAAGGAGGACTTAAGTGAATTCTAACTTTTGTCCAATGCTCTTTGGGAGCAACAAAGCCGCTTATGAGCTGGAAAAGAAGGGCCCTGCTTACGCCGAGGTTCCTTACTAAGCTGCAGAAGGAAGATGCTCTTGCCACCAGTCAGGTTCTTGATTATATCATCCAGCATTGCCCTTAAAGGGCAGGTCCGTCAGCTCCTTCTTAGAGGTCTGGTCAGCAGACCAGCACTTGAGCCACAGAAGGCAACGCAGAACACCCTATAACCAGCTGCAAAGCCGAACCAGCGATACATAGTAATTCTTTTATAATTGGAAGATCAATCAACAAGTAATTAGAGGACGTGCACAATCCATAACGAAATAAGAACTATATATCTAAAGCTAAACAGTCTAGAAGAACTTTTTAGAGTTGCCAGTGACTCAGATCAAATTCATATAGTTAACATATATAAAACATTCATTGGTTAAAATTAAGGATAAGGAATAATTCCTTAGCCACTCAGAAGCGTTTTGTCCTTCTGACTACTTATAAAAAGTCATAAAGGTTTATAAATAAACGAAAAAAACGAAAAAAGTGAGACGAGTGCTCAATGAAAGTTGTTCGTGGAAGTGGTTTTATGTGCATATTATCATTATTCGATGGTGTAACCCATAAATATCTAATACGTACAATACGAAGTGAATAAATAGTTGTGTAAATGTAATTTGGAAATATATAATATGGAATATTAGTTATGGGTAATAATAAAAGCATGATTAAATTATAATTCCTCCTTCATTTCATAGCTGCTTTTGGTACAAGTACAATTTAGACATATCCAGGAGCGCAGATTTATTTTTCCTATACCTACAGAAATATGTATGGGTCCCTCCTCCCAGCATCTAATGCTGCAGGATTTTTTCAGTGTCTGTGATGATGTCACAGACAGTGAAAATACAGGGCTAAAATACAGAGGATCTATGTCAAGGGGCAACGTAGGGGGAGATGAGCTTTAATTTCCAGGAAAGTCTTAAAGTTGAAATAGATTGGCAGTAATACTTTTTCCATTAGAACACTGCATTGCTAAATATGGGAAAGATGTACACACTTGGGAATACTGTTCATTTTTGTTTTTATTATTAAAAGTCTCCTGGAAAATGGCTACTAATAACAACATTTAAGCAATGACTCAATTTTATCTCTAGTGTTTCGTTTTCCATAAAGCTCTACGCACTTTGTACTGCCTCGCATAACCTCAGATCACAGTGAGTCATCAACATGTTCTGTACTGGGATTTTCTTTTTATTCCTGCACACAAGCCTTATTAGCTCTGTTTCTGCTGGAAAAGTTTTGGTGTGGCCAACAGATGCTAGCCATTTTTTGAATGTGAAAATAATCCTGGATGAACTTACCACCAGAGGACATGAAGTTACAGTGTTGCTTCATTCAGCCATTATATTAATGGGGACAGACACTAATAAAACCTCACTATTAAAATATGAAGTTTTCGAAGTGCCATTCACAAAAGAGAAAAATGAAAAGTTTCTCGAGGAATTTTTAAGTCTGTGGATTTTTGATGTACCTAATATGTCATACTGGGAATTCTATCAAAAAATGAAAGAGATGGTGAGTGAGCAACAGGAGATGGAAAAATATATGTGTGATGGGGTACTTAAGAACAAGTCATTGTTAAAGAAACTGGAGGATGAGAAGTATGATGTCCTGATTTCAGATCCATTGATCCCATGTGGTGAACTCATTGCTGAAGTTCTGGGACTTCCATTTGTTTATTCTTTTAGATTTTCCATGGGCAATTCAATGGAGAGACTATGTGGACATCTTCCAGCCCCCTTTTCCTATGTGCCCGGAGCCATGGCAGAACTTACTGATAAGATGTCTTTTGTAGAGAGATTGAAAAACACAAACTTCTATCTGTTTCAAGACATATTACTCTATGTTGTGTTTGCTGGCAACTGGGATGGTTACTACAGCGAAGTATTAGGTGAGCTTTGAAAGTAATTGGAGAAAGGTGTGAAAACAAAATATTTGTCTGCCTAATCAACCTATATTAATCTTTTAATTTAATCTTGTGGAAAATGTATATTTTATTTGTTTTGTGTAATAGGCATATTTTAGAAAAAATATGCAAATATATGGTGTAATTTAGGTGTGGGAAAAGTAACATGCAAATCATGCAAATCATGCAGGATCTCTTTCCCTAATGTGGAAAAACATGTCATAAATACCTATATGTCCGCTTTGCAACTTAGTTGACATATACAGCTGTGTATTAGTGACCACTGTCATTATATATATATATATATATATACACACACACACACACACACACACACAATTTCC